AGAATATAGCTACTCCTTGTTTAACATTGTAGTTATGTTTTTGAAAAATGTGACTTTAAGTGAAACGATGTTAAGTGAATCTAATTTCCCCATAAGAATTAATGTAAATGGGGGGTTAGATTCCAGGGAAATTTTTTTTGCCAGACAAAAGACATTCTATACATATACAGTATAAGTTTTAAATAATTTTAAGCAAATGATTTAATACAGGTGTAGGTTTTAAATCACTTATACCATCACAGTAAGTTAGAAATGTTCCAGGAATACTTGTACCAACACAACATAAACAACAATGGCTGCTACACTGAAGCAGGAGCATCGCTTGGCTTATGTCAAAAGTAGGCAGCAGCCAAACAATGTTATAACCAACTTTGCTCGACTTCAAATGAGTGTGTTCTCTAATAGATCAGCAACGTAGTAATGAAACAACGTTAACTGGGATGACGTTAAGTGAGGAGTTATTGCACAGTTTCTCTCTTAAAACACATTGTATTTTTACCTAGTCATTTCCTCTTCAAAGCTGCCCCCTTACTTCTACACCTTTTTGCAGAAAGGGGGCAATGTGTGGAGTAGCAATACAAGTGTCTGCACAGTGAACTATCATTGTTACAACCTGGAAACCACTCACTATGTAGAAGTAAAACGAGGCTCAGGATTCATTTGATATTTATACTAGGTGGAATTGTCTCTTACCAACAATTAATATTGTGGGTTTTGTTATGGACATCAATACACTAATCACTGGACAAAGCTAAACTTTTTAAATATATAATCTTTAGTATTTAAACGCATGCATATGCTACTGAACCATAGGTGGCAGAAGCTTTGGCTGGAGTACTAAAAGCTAATTTTATATTTTGTTCATCTCTTTGTTAGTACAATCTTTCTGCAGTTAGGGATCAGATAACTCCTCCGAAAATTCGCTTCTCAATAGCTTGACACAAGTATGAAGAAGCTTAGTGTATACAAATAGTCAACATACTAGACCACTCTAGCTGTTAAAACTGTCAAATTCTTGACAGTTTTGGTTTGAGCCTCAGAGTTAAAGCCAATTTGATTTTTCTAAAATAATCTAATTTTGAAGATGCCAACCATTATAAATCATGTTACTTTCTCTGGTGCAGAGTAAGAAATTACCAGCAGAATGTCGCATCTGAATTTACTTCAGTTTATGTTGTGTTCAGGGGTGTTTCTCAGACCTATGTATTACTGTCAGAGGGTGGTAGAGACTGTTCTGGTGGAACTCAGGATTTAATATGTTCCCTGTCCCTCTTTGTTGTAGCCACCTAAGAAGGCATCTAAAAAGGAAAAATCTAAACAGAAAACACCTTCTAAAACAAAGAAAGCAGTGAAGAGTGCTAATGTCAAGAAGGCAGATAGCAGCACTACTAAAAAGAATCAGAACAGTTCCAGGAAAGGTAAATGTTTAATTTTTTACATAAGCAGGGGTCAGCCTTTCTGGCAGTTGTGCCAGACCCTCCCCAAATGTTGCTTTCCATCCCTTTCCTTTACCTGATCTGCTGCTCTTGATTTCTGTTCCCTGCCTGTTCTCCCTGACCAAGCTGCTGCTCTCCTTTCTGCCTGGTGGTCTCTGCCTGCTTTCTGCTCTGCTTTCTGCCCTGTCTACCACTGTGTTGCCTGTCCCCTTCCAGTCTGCCACGGGCCACATACAGAGTGCTCGTGCCACTTCTGGCATCCATGCCGCAGGTTGGCCACCCCTGCTTTAACACTATGAATCATTTTGTAGCTTAACTTGAATGCTTATTTAATGAGTTTCAACATAAACTGCAAAGTGAAACAGCTTGCTAATTGCTGCTCTTTGATGTAGACCTTACAAGTTTGTCTGTTTTGCTAATAAGGTTTTACACTTGAAATATAAACATTCTGCTGAATGTCTGACAAAATCTGTAAAGGGACCTGTCTTGATCACATCTGGCATCCTGTGTGGTGCACACATCAGGGTTCAGAATGTTTTTGCTAGACCAGGGGTTGTCAGCTGGGGATACATGTACCCTTGGGGGGCCCTAGTGGGTATGTGCAGGTGGGTGGGGATGGAGCACTGCCACCCGCTACCCCGCACTGCCGCCTTCCAGGAGCAGGGCTGGGGGTTGGGGGAAGCTGGCACGTGGCTGCCGGCATCACCACCCTGCTGCTTCCACTCTACTGGTTCCATTCCGGCATCACCACCCACCGCTGCTTCCACTCCCAGCAACATGCCACCTCTTCCCCATGCTTGGCATCTGGCCACTGGGGGTACACTTATTAAAGGTTGAAAACCTCTGTGCTAGACTATCTATTTTTTGGCTGTGTGCACGTGCTCAGTTTGTCATTATGCTCTCCCATCCAAAGATTTAAAGGACAGAGCCAGTGAACTTGGTCTGGATTTATCAGCCTGACAGTAGCAGCATTTAATCTATTGGCTAAAGTTTTTTTATAAGATTTTGAAGTTTACACTTAACAGAGATATTGACCTGTAATTTTTCATATTCTTCTCTGCCTTCTTGATGACAAAGAAGGCATAGAAGGTTTTGGGCAGTTCTTTAGAATCCAATACATGATTATATAGACGTTGCACAAAAGTGCAGCAGTTTCTTTAGAATTTATCATTACTCAAACACAGACGAGGTGCGCCTGTCCTATGTCCCCTCCCCACCAATCAGTATGGGAGGGAAAAACTCCTTGTCTTAAATTCACATACAAAGTAGAGTGGGAAGCAGGTGGCTGCTCTGGGTCTGACTGGCCCTGAGCCCAGGTTGGGGCCAGAATCAGACCCACAGCAGCCTCCTGCGCTCCCCTCCCTCAATAAAAATTGAGTAATATTTTTTTCATTTAATGCAGATTTTTTGCTCGTTATTTAAAGAGAGTAAGTTAGTTTCCTTGAGCAACTAGTTGTTAAGGTTACTTCCTGATGTTAGGGTTTGGGCAAGACCTGGAATTCTGCTTTTTATTTCTTTGTCCCTTGTTAGGAAAACGCTCTGTTTCTCCTATTATTTTGTTTTATCTTTTTAAAGAACCCCATCCAATACTTCATCTCTCAGAGGCCCTGCTTTTCATTCTTTTTTTATTATTATTTCAGCCATCTTCCCCCTAATTTTGGTTAGTTCTAGTAGAATCCACCTTTTCTGGGGCTCTGTATGGAGTTCCTCTGCACGTTTTAACTCTAAATATAAATCTTTCAGTTGTTTTAATGTTTTCTTAATATAATTTAGTCATGTTAGTGTTTGTTTATAACGGGTCAGAAATCAGCAACCTATGGTTCATGGGCTGTATACAGCCCATGAAGAGAGAGGGTCTGACCAGTGACAGCTCAGGGAAGAACTGGAAGCAGGCCCTAAGCCAGGGCAGCAGAGACACTGTTCCCAGGGTCCTAATGCCTGCTTTTTTTTCTCTCTCTAGTTCCTCCACACCATCTATTGATTACAAAGATTGACAGCCCACACCCAAGAGATTGGGTTATAAACAATTGCCAGCAGTGGCAAAAGGTTGCCAACCGTTGCAGAGAGGAGAAGCTTAGGTTATCTGGGAAATTTCTCTTTTTAAGTATTTTGTGCACTTAAGCCTAGAAAAACCATAATTCTTCCCCCCCTCCCCGGGTCCTCTCTTACAAGCTGTTCTTTTCATTGTTATTTGAGGAATTTTACTGTGATTGCTCTGGGAGAGTCGCATTCTGCGGATTGTGGGCTCAGAGCTCTGTACATACTTTATTTCTGTAGGGTTGGATGAGGAGAACAATTTTAGTTTATCCTTGTGAATTTCCATATAGATCTTACATAGCTGTCATCTTCAATAACTTCTCTGAACTTCAATATTAGATTAAGCTTCAGTTTTCCAGATTTTCAGCCCTATCAGGGAATTCTACTTTTTTTCAACCCATTGGGGTGAGCACTCTCATCTATAGTGTGGTGACCTGAAATTCTGCTTTCTCTCTTTTGTATTCTAGACTGCAGGATATCAGTCCTGTCCTTGATCTCATTCACAGTAGGTAGAGTCTTATATTGTACAGCCTGAACTCTTATAATTCCTTTTTCATTTCTAACAGCACAGTTTCCCAAGTAACCCATCCCTCTTCTAGGATTACCTCCAGTTTGTTTGCAGTAGCAGAAGGGCTGTGTTCCTCAGCAGGCTTTGTGGATTTGGAACAATGACAGAAATTCTTTAAAGTGGTTGTAGGTTTTTTTTCTGGCTGCTCTTTTTCTCATTGATACAGACCAGTAGCGTAAGTGAAAATGCAGTTTCTTCTCCTTCAAAACTTCATTTTTCCAGCACCTGATAAGAGATGTCATTCCAGGCTCTCGATATTAAAGGGAGTTCAGCAATAAAAAAGCCAATTGTGGGTGCTTTTGGCACATTTATTAAACTTGTTCAGTGAAGCAAAGATCATGATGCCAAGTTCACTTCTTGGCAGCATTGTCTATTACCAGTACAGAGCCAGGCACATTACTCTATACGTGCAAGAACAAGTCACTTTCATTGACATTGGTACTGGTACTGCACAGTTTGACTGTCATCTTTGTCACAGTTGTCTGTACCATTGCCATTGATAACACTGGAAAATGATCAGTCAGACTTTTGACACTGTCCTTTCTCACCCAGTCTTTCTCTATATTGTTCCTTGCAATACTGCTGTTCTAAGAAAATGGAACATGTTTGATACAGCAGCTCTGCAGTCTTCTTTCTGATTAAACTGTTGTTCCTCTCTGGAAGAGTTCATTGCTACACATGTACAAATAGACAATTTATTGCTGAAGAGTAAATGCAGATGTATGCAAACGTATCCGGTGACCACTCTCCTAACAGCTCTGAATTCTGGGTGGCAAAGGAACTGAGCAGATCTTAGTCATTTAACCTTTTATGCTGTCAGGACAGGGAGCACAAGAGAAAACAGAATATATCCACAGCCTTTAATGGACACTGATACTAAAAATATTCTGAACTCCTGTATAGCGGAGTCTATCCCAAGAGTGAGATCCATATGTACAGACCATTCCTAACTATACTTGCTGTATAAGGCAAGTGATCTGTTGTTCAGCTTAATAAAAAGGAGGCTGAATCGAAGTTCTGGAGAAGTATGGAAACCACAGTATTTTCTCAGATATCACATGCCTCTAAGATGCGCACCTTTTGTTTTGGGAAGGCAGAATGAAATAATAAGGATTTTTTCCAGAATCTTTACTACTGCAACACAAGCTCACCATGGAGCAGTTGAAAGCTGTTATTAATTTGGCAGCGGTTGTGATAGGGTTAAAACTTGACCTTTATTGCTGGAAGGAAAGGGTGAGTGACAGAAAACTGGACTCTGTTCCTCTTGCCTGTGCCCAGGCAGACAGCGCTGCTTTGGGCAGGCATAACAGCATCCCCATGCTTCTATTCCTTTGCAGAAATCAGCTTCCCTACTTAAAAATACATAGCCCAGTTCAGAAGGCTAATTTTGGGGGGAAAGATGCAGGTGGCATATGAGTAAATACAGTGACACTGAATTTTGTTATGAACAAATCAAAAGATGATCTATAAAAGAATATGTGGAGGAAGAGCTGCTGCATAGTGTATTCTGTGACTAATGAAAGTTCTAGTTTGGTGGAAGAAAAGCAGGGGCTTATTTATTTTTAATGTGTTTGATAAAGTTAATTTTTCCATATTTAGAAAGCGAGTCTGATGATAGTTCAGATGATGAACCTTTAATTAAAAAGCTGAAGAAACCACCTACAGATGATGAGCTTAAGGAAACTGTCAAGAAATTGTTGGCAAATGCAAATTTAGAGGAAGTTACAATGAAGCAGATTTGCAAGGAGGTAAGTAAGTGTACAGATGGTTTCATACAAAATTAGATCAATTTTCCTATTTTGTTCAGTAATCTCCAATTTGAGTATTTAGGGAACTATACCAATTGACTTTTTCTTCATTCTGCATTGTCAGCCATACTGCCTAAAGCTTGGATCACAAATCTCCACAGAAGACCTCAGGATGTTAAAGGAAAAAGATTTGGTTATTTCATTTATTAGCAGTTGTTTTCTTGTTTTTCCAAAAAAGAATGCCATGGGTTTAGACGTTGCTAACACTTGCAAGTTGAGAAAAACTGAGGCCCTGAGCACATGGTAGCAGTAAACCTTCCATTAATCCCATTATCTGACTGCGCAATGTCAAGAGTGTGGTCTTTTGTTTTTGGCTTGTTTTGCTTTTGCAGCACTATACATTCAGTTTCTGCCCACTCCAGTGAAAGGCAAACTAATGAATGTATCACAAATGTTAAGTTTCGTTCAGTCTTTCCTCTCTCCCTTCCAGAACAGAAGGGTGCATGGACAGTACGACTGTTTGGAAATTCCTTTACAACAGGGGTGTCAAATTCATCCAGCCCCACAGTCCAGATGAGAAGTGTGGGGCTGGACTGAACCCACAGAGTGGCCCCATTTGCCAGATACAGCATGCAGGGCTGGTCTCATGTGTGCGCCTAATGCAACATGCCCTATGGACCTGCTGCATGTGCTGCTTGCAGCATGCCCAGGCCCCATTCTTGAAAATGCCTAGGGCCTACAGTATATATGGTGCCCATGCTGGACTGGCCTTGTTTGGCCCAGGTGCCATGTGCAGCACCACACACCACACGTAGAACACGTCAGCCCCAGCCCTGCATGTCCCATGGTGCACGGGGCCAGTTGGGGGCATATTTTACTAATTACGTTTCTTCTTTGCAGGAAATAAAATCCTGAACTGCAACACTTGTAATAAATCCATTTAACTTTTAGTATAGGGTTTAAGAAGGAAGAATTTTCCTGCCATGTCCACTGTGCTGTCAGAGTAACTTTTAAGAAATGTAGCCAGTGGGTGACAAGTTTCAGTTCTTACTGTTTAATGTTAAACCATTTTACCACAAAGGCTATTAGGAAATACACTATTTCACTTAAGGGTTTGGGGGGAGGGGAAGTGGGGTTTTTGTTCTTACATAGGTGGTCTGATTTTAGGGTAATATTTAGTTAACTAACCTTTTTTATGATTCTGTCAAAAAATTATCTTGGGAAAACCTTCATCCTGAAAGATATGTTTAGGGAAAAATGAGGCCAAAATCAGTACAAGCTTCAGTAATTACAGATAACTTATGGTCATTCTGCAAACCAGATTTGGGATTCCTGGGACAGGCCTAAGTTGACTTGACAGTTCCTGGTGTCTGTTTTCTCCCAAAAGATTTTCTAATGATAAAAGAGTACCAAATATAGTGAGTTCTGTGCCTCTGACTTGAAGCACCTAATATTTGACTTTCTTCTTTTCCTTAGCAACAGTTGATTTTTTTTTTTAAAACTAAGGTGGAAAGAATATAGCTGATTTGCAGATCCCTGCTCTAGGCAGTGTTTTCTGGCAAGGGGGGGCAGAATGACCTAGCTCAAGCTGGAGGTGGGCAGGCATTGGGGTTCAGCTGCTGCCACAGCAAAAACTCACCCATTGCTTCAGGTAGAACCCCCACCCCCATTGTGATGTGGTGCTGAAGCCATTGCTTGGTGGGCTGGGTTCAAACTTTCTATGGGTCATAGAGGTTGCTGACCTCTGGCTTAGAGGATACAGTGCAACTATTTGAACTCTTGTCTGACACAATGCCTCTCTTTTTTTTTATATCATTATTAAAAATTTCTACTTGAACAATTTCAAATATTGGATGTTTAGTCAAAACAAGGGAGGGAAATAACGTGGCACTTAGAATGACTTGTTCAAGTCCAAACAATTCTACCTTTTTATATTTTTTTTGGCTCTCAATTCATTACCTTTACTTTCAGAATAAGTTGAAAGACTTGTTCATTCTGGATATCCTATTGCTTGCTTTAGGTATATGAAAGCTATCCCAGTTATGATTTATCCGACCGGAAAGAGTTCATCAAAAAAACAGTCAAAGAGGTAAATAATTTATTATCTAGGAAAAGTTATTTTTATTTTGTTTTTTTTTCTTTTTCATACATTTTGAAGGTTGGGCATACTTACTCTTCTGTCTGTAGCTTTATTGCTGTTGTTGTTTTGCTCACTTCCCATACCACAGCAAGCACCAAAATTTTGAAAAACTTGTTTCTGGGCCCTGCACTCCTGCCCCCCCGCCCCAGTTTGGCTCAGCAATTAAGTCAAACCACACCAACTTGTTTGCAGGTAATACTACTTTACCTTTAGGAAGTTATTTTTCAGAAAACAGAATTTGAAACCCTAAAACTACCATAGTTCAAATTAATTGAATGTCCTTAATTATTAATTAATGCATGGCTACCAATCAGTCTGGGCAGTATAACACCAAGTTGCTCTTTTCTTATTCTTGCATGGTAGCACTGAAAGGAAGATTGTTAGTAGGCCTCTTCCATCCTTAACTTTGCACATGCATATACCCCATCCAGATGTTAGACTTCCTTGGCAAAAATATACTGCACAAAGTAGACTGGTGCAGCAGGAGGGAGATTTGGAAATCACATAGTAACAATTTCTTTTCTAGGTACTCAAGTAATATGCCACCCTTAATGCAGGTTTCATAGAAAAGTCAATATACAACCCAAATCTAGTAATTTCCAAGTAACTTGTTTTCCCTAAAATTAAAGAGAGAGAATTAAAAGTTAAGTTAATAAGAGAATACAGAAATTCTTAGGAAAAGAAGCTTTATGCACTCCCTCTATTTCAAGCTCTTTTCTCATGCACAGGCTTGGACTTTAGTTAGAGGTAATATGTAGTCTCAATACCATGTACACCACTAAAGACAGTCCAACAGCAGACAGTAACATAAATAATTTGTGGTAATACTCTTATAAGTAAACTAATGAAGAAGAGCATAAATCAACGCTTAACAGGCAGGGTTGTTCCTGATCATTTAACTTTGAAAGGGAATATGGTACAGGATTGACAGAAGGAGAAAACTTGATAAATCTCTCATTTCAGCTGATATCATGATCTAGACTGACTGTGGGAAATGAAGACTGCTGATTTCTGTCCCATGGATTTGAAGATCTGATAGGCACCAGCAAAAAGAATGTTTCTTGCCCTTTGTGGTATTGTTTATTCAGAGCTGATTCTGCTGACCTATTATCCAGTGTTAATGTAAATTGCTTTGTGTACCTTTTTAAAAAATTGCATTTGATGCAGTTTTAGTTAACCATACTTAAGTTTTTTGCATGGCAATAAATTTTCCCTTTTATAGTTTTGTACATTTCAAATTGCTTTGTACAAGTAGATTAACTAGGACCATCGTAGCTTTTAGTGTGCTTTAATAGCTTACTTGCAGGATACTTTTTTAATCAAGTAGGTTGAAAGTTGTTCAAGAGTCTGCACCTGTACATGCAGAGATTGTCTGAAATAATGCAGTATTAGTTTCACAACACTTTTGAATACGTATCCATTTAAAAAATATCAGGAATGAAAGTCACAGGCTAGTGTGTCTTATATTCTGGTTTGCGTATTCATAAGTCTGGAATTACTTTGAATCTAGATTCTTGTCTTGCATGTGTATGCACTGTGAGAACTGTCAAAGCATGATAACTAATTGGCATATAGATGTTATTTTTGTACTTTTAAAAGGATTTCTGTTATGTATATAAAGTTATTACAGATTTCTTTTGTTCAAATCATTTTTAATCTAGTTATTTCTTGGAGGATTCATGACATAAAATGTCAGTGTTCAGCAGTGAGGCAATGATAAAGAAAGACTGCAAAATAGCTGAAGTTTTACTGTCTGTCCCATCTTACCGTGTAAGGGAAATTTAACTGCAGTTTTATAGTTATACTTCTCAGTGTTTAACTGTATGTAAAGGCTACAGCTTCACTTATTCTAACAGCTTGACCAAGCAAATAAAACTTAACGAAGGCTATATGGAAGAATATAACTTGGACTTCGTAAATATTTCTATTGGTCCTAGAGTCCAGTATTTTTAGAAAACGGGTAACTGAAGTAATGGACACACGACAGGTTGAATAAGACTGAAAAACTCGCATAGTGAAGGCCTCATTTTGGGACAGCATTTAAACATGTAGGCAGGTGTTATGCTGTATAGGACTGCTTTTTTGGAACATAAGCTTAGGTGCCTACACACGGGCATGGTAGTTTAAATGTTAGAGCCCTGTTTCTAAGTTTTGGTTGCCAGCATGGCTTGTTCAAAGTGATTTCTTCATCCAAGTTTTGTGTCCTTCCCTGCACCATCAAACACCTTACTGTTATGATAGAAAGTCCACATGCTCGTGTAATTATGGTGTAAAATACTAACAGATTCCAAACAAAAAATGTGTTGCCATTGATATTGTAATCAGCAAGCCCCTCAATGACTACTGTTGCTCAAAAAAAGTGAGCATATTTTAAAAATTTTAGTGTTGTATACTTGAAAAATCAAGGATCGTAGATAATCTGAGGTCTGAAAGTATTCAGCCAAATAGCTAATTAATCTTTACACACTTTTTTTATAATTTCTGTGCATGTAATCCTTTATAAGAAGGCTGAATGTAACAAAGTTTTGTATTTCAATAAATGTCTTTCAGAAAAATGTAAACCAATTTTGATTTAACATTAACTTCCATCTGTAGTAAAATCTATGCAAAAAAACTATGTCTGCTTTGTCTCATCTGAAGAAAACCATTTTTGCCCAAAGCCTTATCTGCTTCAGAGGTTTGACATATAGTTTTGTGGATAGATAGTATGTTTTATTTTTTTTAAATTAGGTGCAAGTGGCCTACAGTTAAGGATTTTGAAACTCTTAATGTACTACATGTAGCAGGAAGTATTCTAATTGTAGTTGAATATCTTCTTTTGATAGATTTTTCTATTAATACTACTCATTCTATTTACTCCTCAAAATTCCTATGTAGGTGCTCTGGCCAGGTCAGCACCTCATCTTGATGGAGTGAATTTCTTTTCCAGCTCAAACCAAAGCAAGGACACTTAAATGAATGCTGCAGTAGTGTATGGAAGGGTTAACCACTGTCAATTAACACTGGTTTACAAACTAGATCAGTGCAATTTCACAAGTGGCACTGCAAAGAAAAAAATATTATATTTCTTGGTGTCAAGTCTTACACTCAAAATGCTTCACTTGAAGCTCACTCAGGAGAAAGTTATATATGAAAAGCTATAGGTGGAGACATGCTTTTAGAACCAACCTTGACATTTTTGATTCTAATGAAATTTGGTCACTTGACGCTAAAGAAAATTTCCAATTCCTTTTAGCAATCAAGGTAAGGAACCTTGAGAGGACTGTGAGCCAACATTTAAAAAGATAAACAAGATGCTATGAGTAATCTGATACTAATTTCAGCCGAGAAAATGGCTGCCCTTCCTCTCTATCTACAGAGGCTATTAGTTTGTCAAATGTGATACACATTGTGCAACTGAAAAGAATAATTTTAACCCTTTATGAAACATTTAGTTTAATATTAATTCTGACTAAAAGTAGTATTCTACACAATCAGTAACAAATCTTACATTGAACAGTTTTTCAATTAATTAAGAAATCTGTAGTAGGATTAATTCCTGACCAGACTATTTAGTATTTTGATGAATAAAGTAAAAGACTATTTAAAAAGCTGATAAAGCAATAACAGTTTCATCTACCCAAAGCAGTAGGATTGCTTTATGACTGACTAAACACACCCAATCTCCTGCTCTGTGGAAAAAAATTAACAATTTTTAAAAACGTGATTGGAAATACCTCTTTACCTCAGTATTATTACCTCTAGGGAGTGTACTTGAATATATCCACTTGCCAGAAAATACAGGCATAAGAAATGGGAAATATCTTGCAGTAAGACTGAGCTCCTTAGGTCTCTCATTTTAACTTTTTGGAAAGCAAGGGAGATGTTTGATCAATGACAAGTGTAGCACAGTTTCTTATTACAGAAAGTTCTAATGTAGCAGACAAAGGCATTACAAAATGTGACAGCTAGAACTTGTAGCTGGAAAGTGCTTCCATTTAAACACTGAATAACCACTGAAATAGTTTTCCAATAGAAATTATAGCTTCTTCCCCATTGTTTAGTGTCCTTAAAAATTGGATATAGGCTATTACAGTGAGTAATTAGACTACTAAGTTAAATTCAGAGGCAGCTTTTTACATGAGATGCTTATCTAAAATATAAAAAGACATTATCCAAAAAAGTCTCATCATCTAGGACAGCAGTTGGTGATGGATTTCCAGTAGCAGCCCGGGTGACTCGCCTCAGGCAGGCTGACTCTCCAAGCCAGCTGCTTCTCTCCACAGCCTAGCCTGCAGTACATCACAGGCAAGGGTGCCTTGGCTCTGGGCTGGATCTAGTGACTCTCTAGCCCTTAAGTGGCCCCCCTGATCCAGGAAGTTGATATTTCTATCAAGTCTACTAGCCCTGTTTAGTATATACATGAAATCCAAAATTAAATGTATTATCTCTAGAAGATCTAATAGGATAGCAGGGATGTCAAACATCTGGCCTTACAGGGCTTCTTGAGGTCTAGATAACCCACTGACCGATATAGTCTATGAAGCTCTTCACAACAGCTGTGCAAGCCCCCCCCCCCCATCAGAGGGTCCACACCCAAGGTTGCTGCCTTAACCCCACTTCTACATTTCCCATTTGCAATCCCTGTTGGGCTGGCAAATTCACAGTGGCAGAGCAAGCAGCAACTGAATTACATACAGGCAATATAACAAATGAAACAAAATTTACCTCTAGGCAGGCAGTATAGCACACAGTAGCTTTGTCAGTTCATTTATTAAAATAAAAGGGAAGAAATGTAGATTCAACATCTGTTCAGAAAACAAGCAACACCCAAATGGACACTTTCCAGTTTATCCTGACATCATACCATACCAGTCACACAGGAGAGCTGAAGTATAACAGATCATGCTCTGCATTCAAACATTTTGGTAATATTTTATACAAGCTTATTAAAAAAAACAACAAAAAAAAAGCCAAACCCCAACTTTCCCTAGTTGTTTATCTACAGGGACTAAACCGTACGTACAGATAAAAAACTGACATGCCTAAAATTAAATTTGACACGGCTGTGAAAGGAAAAGATCTTTGGGAACAGTAATTAAGAGTGAAGCCTCAGAACCAGCCTGATGTTTTGTTTTTTTGTTTTTTTTTTAGAAGTTTGAATGAATATAAATTAAAATGCTTAGTTTCTCCACTTAGGTGCAGCACAATATAATTTAAATGCCTTGACATCAAAGTAATAATATACCATAAGTTTGTGCATTTATTACCCATCACTTGTCTTAATGCTATAAAAAGTGCTTGCTAACTAAGGCCCAAGTTAACAAAGAATTTGCTTATGCCCATGCTTGTTTTTCAGCAAAGTATCACTGTATGCTAAAATGTTTAAATCCTAGTGTAAGACACATGCTGAAAAGTAAATGTTGACTTGGAATGCAGTACTGAAATGAGATTTTAAAGCAGCAGTTCCCAACCTTGAGGCAACAACAGTAACAAATGGGGTTGCAAAGACGATCACAGATTGGGATCAGCCCCTCAAGGGGCTGGGAGGAATGGAAGGAGGATGATCATCAGGCAGGGAGCATCATGTACATGTGCCCAGGATTTGGTCCTGGCCCTGTAACCCTGACAACTGGGGGCTCCCTCTGGCAGGGCTGGGGGGAGCAGGGGGCTGCAGGTTGCGAATGAGGAGCACATGGGGGGTGAGGGGCACTGGGGGGTGAGGAACGGACCATACTAAGGCAAAAGGTTGGAAAGTGCTGCTTTAGAGCTTGACCTTTCAGTTAATCCTGCCATTATAAAGCAGACTGAAGCTTGGATAAGGCCTGATGAAGCAAGCTGTAAGTAGAATTAATGTTACAGGTTTCTAATAAAGATTCTCTTATTTAGCTAAATTTCTAAGATGCGTTCCAGTAACATTTTTTCTCTTGTACAGAAAATTTCGAGGGAAGAAGAAAGCTCATTTCACTATTGCCCACATATAAAGTTTTCATCTCCCATTGAAATCTTTCCAGTTACATTATTAATTGGTCTACAAAGTGTGGAATTATCAAAGTAACAACGATTACCAAAAGCAAAATCTGAACTTCAATTACCGTTTCTTCTATCAGCAGAGAATTTCACACCTTGTTTTTTGTAACCCTTAAATTACAATTTAGTACTTGGAATATATTAGAAATGTAAATATTAGCATTTGTGTAGAGCAGAAAGAAATATGAACAATTACACTTTTTCAATCACCATCTTACTCTGTTTTAAAAGTAAAAACAAATATTTATCTGAAAAACAGGTCTCATTACATAAACATCTTCAACCTTGTAAATTAAACATTAAATAAAGACATTTAAACATAATATCTACTCTAGAAAATGAATAAGTTTTTTAAAGAAGAGTAAAATTTGCTTTTCTTCAGCAGGTTTCTTTTGTGAAGGTAAAACTTTTTGGAGATAAGCACTATAACTAAAAGCCTCAGTCTCTCTGTTGCACAAAGAGCATCCTTTAAAAAATAAAAGAGTCTGCTTGAGACCAAGGAAAACAGTGTGTGCTTGTTACCTTTCTAGAATCATATGCAGCCAAAGTAATAAAGTTGCAGGGAGACAGCGGGGCAGGGCAGGGGAGTGTAAATTTTAAAATGATTTTCCATATAAACTTTGTTCTAGGGGATGCTGTTAGTCACCTGCCCATTTCTCTAGTTTCTATCAAAGATATTTTTCTTTCAGAGTTAGTCCCTCAAGTCTTTCTTTAATAATACTTTCAATAATAATAAAAAAAACTTCAAAGTGCAAGCCACCTTCTTTGAGCCCTTCATAAAAAAGCATGAATTTTACCTCATTCATCTTTCCCTATTTTTAAATACAAAAGCTGAATGAGCCACTAAGAAATTTGAACTTATAGTCCCATCTTCATTCCTTGCTATGCTTTCATAATTACACATATAAATGACTTATCTACACATCTCAAATGAATTTGGAGATTCACTGTTCAAACAACAACAAAATTATAAAACTTTTTCCCCCTACTCTACTTCCACTGAGCAAATCTCAACTTAACCCTATTGTAAAGAGGATTCTTTTAAAGGTATTTTTCCTCTGAATATGTAGGAGGGAAAAAATTTAGACATTTTTACAATAATGTAAAAAGTTTCATATTTTTATTTCTTCTAAAAAATTATCTTAGCTCCAATAACCCTCCTGTAATTGCACTGTATACTGTTCCAGCAGTTTAAAGGAACAAACTTCAGATTCTAAAACCTGACTGGTAGAAAGTAAGGTCACTGAAAAAATAGCAAGAGGGGTTTGTCTGTTGCAGGTGGGGAGACATTTCAGTTTGTTCCTTCTTATACTCATAACCATTGTTATTCCACAATTTGGCCAGTTTATTCAAGTGCTTGGGAATGAGTGTGAATACCTGAGAAGAAAATGAATTGAAGGGTCCTATCATCCCCACCTGTAAGTCTACAAGCATGTTTTAATACTGTATAGTGACTAAAAGCCCTCTTGTCCTGACCTGAAGTTTAGTTCTACAACAGTAAGAGTTGAACCATGAAAAAAACAGTTCACTTAGAAGGTTGTTAGTAAATCTCTGAGGGCCAAAGAGGCCAGAGACTTGAATGCTAGTGCAGACTAATAAGTTACAACAAATGTTTTAGTTAAGAAAACAAGTACTTGTATCCTCAGGGTTTAAAAGGGAGAAAAGAAAGAGAAAGGAAGAAAGATGAATTTATTTTCAGGTACCGTACACTGTTTAAGTACCACTTAGCAAAGTAGCAAATAGGAAAATTGAAGATAGTCTTACCCACAGAAAACGATAAAAAAAAATCTATAGAAACAAAATGCCACTATTCAAAATGCTGCTATTTTGCTTGCTTCTCGAACGCCGCTCAAATAGGCTCCTGTAACCGTCTGGGGAAAGTGCCTGTTTGTGGCCTATAATGAAATAAAAACCATAATTTCTGAAAGCCCCTTAGGAGAAGACGCATACAATTCTGATCCGAAACAAAATTATATGTAGTGCACAAAAAAGTGACATATGCTTTTATAGAGTTTTTACTAAGAGATGCTAGTACTCACGTTATTCAGTAGCTGGTTAAAGAGAGTAAATGAAGAAAGGCTTGCCTTTTTTTCTTACAAAAGCAAATTAATGAATTTAGGGAAGATGACAAAAAAGTGAAGTTGTCAAAGTTCCTTTAAAGCAGGGGTGGGCAAAATAGCTGTCAGGCCATTCTATCCGGCCTGCAAAGCCCCTAAAAAATTTAGAAAATAAATATCTGCCCCTGGCTACCTGTCATGCAGCCCTCAATAGCTTGCCAAAACTGACAAATGGCCCTCCGCCCAAAATAACTACCCGCCCCTGCTTTAAAGCTTTGAAGTCTGACTCCTGACTATTCTTTTCAACATTACAGAAATAGGTTGGTTATGCCTAGATATATATGGATACATAGTGGTATCAATAGCATGAGTTTGCTTCAGTTTCATTACTCACCAGTGGAGAAGTGGTGAGTCAGTTCTGCAAGGAGATGGATATTTTATATGCATATGGACCTCCGTCCTGCTCTACAACATGTACATGCTTTGTCTAGTTTATATAATCAGACCACATTGCTCAAATTGCAACTGGGCAAGACCAGTAAAGCATGCCCACAATAAAATAGCAGGACTGAGAAGTTTCTTTTGAGAAAACTGCTATGCATCACTAATCTTTTATCACTGATAACCAACTATTTAATATGCGTCTATACAGACAGTTTCAGGGCCTTGTCTTGCATAAAGCTCACTGTTCTTTATTTCTGTAGAGTGCAACAACATACACTGTGCATCCTTATTGGAAAAACATGCTGTGATAGCATTAAAATCATTGATACAAGTTTTGCTTATTTTCTATCTTGCTGCAGGTATTAATTTTAGTGCAGCGTCTCAGACTATAGGTTCTAATCACATAGCTAGAAAGATTAAAATACTTCTGCAACTGACATTCGTATCTTAATTTCATAAAAACTGTGGAGTGTGGTCTCACTGCATTTACCCACTCGTCGGTTTGCCACAATTGGCAGCACCTGCTGCAAACTAGCCCTATACTGAAATAGCCAGGGCTATATAAACACCCTTTAAAGAGCATTTGGCCATCTTGTCTTGTTCTAACCAGCACTGTTAAGTTCTCTTTATGAGACACTAATTGAACATTTTTTTAGTAACAGTAATGAAGATATTTACCTCACCAGCAAAGAAGATTTTTCCTTGTACATCTTCAGCTAGAATGTCATAAGCCTCCCCACTGCCACCTGTCTTTACAAAACTGTATGCCATCTGGGTCCAGGGGTCTTGGCTCCATCGTGTAACAAAGAATTTTACTGGATCAGGAACTTCCTGTATTATCAAGAAAATAAGTAATGCAAAAGAATCCATGTTCTCCAAGAACCTGCCAACCAGATTTATTAAAATTCCTGCCATCTAAGCTAAGGGGCTAGAAACCCTACCTACTACTAATTTCAGCCACTCTGAGGATGTTAGCTAAAGCATTACTGAACATTTGCAGTAGTGTATGGATAATCTAGAACAGACAGGTTACATATAAACTTGTAGACAATAAAAATGACATAACGGGGGGAAATTATTTCCTTCATTTATTTCAGTTCAGTCTCCAGAATTGAGTGCAAATAGTGTGTTTGATGGCCAGGTGTTTGTCCTAGAGTTGACAAACAATTAAATTAGCAGTTATGAAGGTGACTTGCAAAGGGAAAAAGGAAAGATTTGTACCCATATCTTTATGATATATAAAGAAGAGTTTGGTGTTTTTTGAGGTATTGGGGAGGTAAAAAGGATACTAACATATTTTTTCTTATGTAATTTTCTTTGCAGGTTACTTTTCAAGTCTCTCAAGTCCATTCCTTTCAGAAAATAGGATTTTCTTACCTGCTCCTTAAACAGCTCTCGAAGTACAGTCATGCATTGCTGTAATACTTGTTTATCATCTAAATTCTTAATTGTCATCACAGCATCTCCAGTAACCACTGACATTAGAACACTGTATTTTCCCTAAAATAAAGGGATTATTACTTGAAATTAATTTCAAAATGGTAAGAGTATGAGAAAAAACAATTCCAACAGTTATTGGGGGAAAAAGACTTTTTTTTGGATGTAATCAGTTATGGTCTCCAAGGAAATTTATTTTCTGTAGTTTTTGCACTCCAGTATGAAAGAACTGAAAGCAAGTAATAAGACAATACTGAGCACACGTTAATTCTGAAGTTATAAAAGAGCTAAGTGACACCATATATTTGTCAGCTTACCCACACTCAGATGGCGGTAAGGTGCTTACATTCACATTCTCTGTCAGACACCAGTCTCCCAGTTCAGTGATAAAGCACCACCATTAAAAGGCAACAAAAAAGTCCTAATTAAGGACTCTAGTCATTCTAGACCTAGTCCAAAGTCTACTAAAAGTTTTGTATAGACGTTAGTGGACTTTGGACCAGACCACATGCTTTGCTCTACAGCAGTGGTCTCCAAGCTTTTTTGATCGCACACCCCTATTAGTAAAAAGTCTTTGAGCACCCCCCCCCAATATATGTATTTTTATATTCGCGTGCCCCTATCAGTAAAAAAATACTGAGCACGCACCCCCAATATTTATATAAATATAAATAGAAGTTCTAATATTTTCTTCCCGCACCCCACTTTGGAGACCACTGCTCTACAGTGAGTCTTGCTTGCCTCTGCTACTTCAGAATTCAGCTACTATATTTACCTGAACTCCAGACAACTTTGAATACAAGACGATTCTCCAATAATTAGATTCTATTAATGGAAAATTAAAAATGTATTAGAATTTTCCACATCTAGAATCTAATTATTGGATGACAGTCTTAAGTTTGCCCCCCCTGCCCAACACTGTGGTGGGGAAAGCAACCAAGGGACAGCGTCCCCATCCCCTGCACTGTGTGTCCCTCCTGTGGCAGGGGGGGAAGGCTGCACCATTTCCCTGCACTGCCCCCAAGCCACATGCTGCAGGTCTTGACAATCCTGCCCCCCCGCAAATGATGTGACCTCTCCCATGCACCTGCCACCCCAACTTGTGATCTCCCCTATGCTCTTCTTGCATTCTCCCCTGCACTGCTGAGCTGCTGCCTGCACCAGGCCGGTACCTAAATCTAAGATGAGACTCCCCGCTCTTCTCCCCCATGATTGACTGGGGAGAAAAACCTGGTCCTGGATTCAATATGGTCAAAACCTTGTCTTGGATTCAAGTAAGTCTGGTAATACTCAGAAGTTCCAAAAAGGAAGGAGCAGTAGCAATAGAGACTACCATAGCTCCCTCATACTGCTCTCCTTCTCTTCTTTCTGAGACATTTAATCTACGTCCACTCCTAAACTAGATAACAATCCCCAAACATCCAGTACTTCCATTTATACTCAAGAAGCATTGCTAGCAGGTTAAATTTTGCTGCAGGAGAAACACTGGCAGGCTCCTCTCAGATCACCCAGGAAGAGGTAGATACCGTAATTATGGAAAACTGTTCTCAAAGGGTCTGGGACTCTTGGGGCAAGTTAACATGTTACAAAAGGCCCTTTCATTGTTCTGCAGCAGTAGAAGCAGGAAATGAAACACGAAAGGATAAGGTATGTGGAAGTACAATGGGCTACAAATGTACAGGTTGGAATTGGTACTGAAATAGGTTTTTTAACTTAGTGCCCTCATTTCTTATAGGTGGGATTCCATCCAACTCAACCGCAATGTCTAAGTGGGATCCAGTCTACATGCTTGATCCTCTACGCACCTTTTATATTTATGTAATAACAACATGTGAGGACACAACACTACACTTCAGAATAGTAACTCTTACAAACCTCCCTAGTGCTTTAAATGACAAGGTAAGATGCAGGAATACTAAAAGGAAGTCTTATGTTTCATTTAGAAACTGTTACATTTAAAACCTCATTCTTCCCATTCTTACAGCGATCTATACTCTGATTCCACAGATTTGTTTTAGGCACAGCACTTCAGAGTCAGTTCGGCAGCTGGTATTTACTGCTGGTATTTACCATCAGCCTAGCATTTACCTGACTCTAGATTGCCAGGTTTTTGGGAATGTAAAACAGCCATGTCCTAGTAGCACAAAATAAACAAACTGGAAAAAGCAACACTGAAAAAAAGAATATCAATTTTCAGTTGTATTTTTTTCCCTGCAGAAAATTATTGGTCCTACTTTTTAAGAGCCAAGAAGCAAAAAGAAAACTTCCATTCTCCAGAATTGTCATTTTTGGACTTCGATTTCAAACTTTAATAGGCTATACTGACATTTATAACATATAGTACCTGTGGATCCATGTCATAAAAGACACTAAATAGTCCACGTTGGCTGGAATTAGGTGGAACGTGACCAAAAAAATCAGCTCCTTGAATTTTGCTGTCCCAAAATCTGTAAGGAAACTGTAAAGCAATCTAACAAGAGATAAAGAGAAACCAAGTCAGAGAAATTCATATTACACAATCCACAGCTTGCCAACTTGCCTCTATTTTAAATAAACACACATTCTTTCAGTTCACTTTCCCTCATCTTCCATCAGTGTCAGGTACCCAAACTATAGTAGAAGGGTCTTAGGATAAAGTACTTGAATCTTTCTGTTCAAAAGAAAAAATGGAATAAAACTTATTTCCCAAACCACAAAGAAACAGAGTAAAGGTAGCAGTCAATTTTTATAACCACAGAAAAACTCAAATTTTGTTTTAAAACAAGCATAAATGCTTGAAAGCTGGAAGTGATTGTGTGTAAAAATAATTTATTTACAAGACCAGGTCCAAAAAGAAAGGACGTGAAAATAAAAATGAGATTCAAAATACCATTTTGCTCTTCTGTTTAAAAGGCACAGTTGTGCAGGGTAAAAAAAGCTCATGAAAGCAAATTTTAAAATGTTCTTTCCTCTATTTTCATAATAGTAATAGGGTCTTGCCTCAGCATGATGCTTTCCCATATTTCTAACTTCTTTGCAAGGCACAAAATCCAAAGCCCAAGCATACCACAGGTTTAAGCTACTGCATACAAATCAAACCCAGGAAAATAACAGCAAACACAAGAAACCTTATAACCGTAAAAGTCCCAAAGCTCAATGTTGATTTTCACACAACTCCAAAGTAATCTTAATTACATACCTTCTCAATGACTCCTGCTCCTAAACCATTAATGGCTTTAATTTTTTTCTCTGGCAGTGGAGGATTAAACTGAATAGTGTTTTTTTGAAGAAGCGCTAGTGGTACAGTAACTAAAACCTGTGGGATAATAAAGAACCATGATCACAACAATAGTAAAAGCCAAACAATAATTTAGACTAACAACATCTAGGTTAATACCTAGTATTATTGTTTCAGAGAGTATAGTACTGACAGGACAACTGAGGATGGGAACAGATGAACAGCTGCATTGCCGGCATTGTCCTGGTATGCAGCTGCTACCCAGAGCGCTTGGGGGTTGGGGAATGAAACTAGGCCTCCGGTCTTAGAGTTTCAGGGTCTCTTGGTTCCTGTAGAGGTAAAGAGCCTCCAGTCTCCTGTCCCAGTTCTGGCAGGGGTGCTTCAGGAGAGCAGAGCATACAGAACCCAATGCTCCACACCTTTACAGCTGCCACCTCAAAGCAAGCAGTTTGGTTTTCCCTTTGGTTTTCTAATATTGCTTTTATGAGTCCTTGGTTTGGCAACCTTAAAAATACTTTTCTAAAACTAAATAAACCTGCTATGCTTTTTGTATGTTATAAAATACCATAATTAAAACAAGTATCAAAAGAAATGACAAAAGGAACACCATTCCTGGACCTCTTTTCTTCTCCTTTTTTAAAAAAAAAAGTCTCTGTTGGTTTCACTTGCTTGCAAAATTCAGGTGATTAAAAAAAATCATGAATTCTAATTAATTGATTCTGATCGTGTACATCAGTGGTACCCAACTTTTCAGCCCTGTGGGCCAGACCACAGGCTGGATCCCTCAAAGGAGTTGGGTCCTACCTTACCTGGATTTGGCTGGGTCTGATCTAGCAGACATAGCCATGCTATCCAGCTCACCAAATTCCCTATGGGTCCAGAAATTTGGCAGCAGGGGAGCAGCAATTTATGCTGCCACCATTCCCCTGCCACCAAATTTCAAACTTGTGGGAAGCCCAGCAGGCCAGATGACACAGCTCCACAAGCCAGATCAGGTCTGTGGGCTGGGGGTTGAGCACCCATGGCATTAATCAATTAGCATTCAAAACTTAAACCTATTCAGTGAGAAACAAATCACAGTATCAACCAAATAAGGCTCAATGAATAATTAGGATTTCCAAATCTCCTTCAGTTTGTTTTGGTTAGGATTCTTAAAAACACAAAACCAATGACCTAAGTCCATGCAAACTCCTGGCATTGGCTACCTTTTGCGCTGCCCACATAGTTCCATCTGTTGTTGTGACCTGGACTTCTTCTCCAGAATAGTCAATGTTGCGTACCTGTTTAACAATAAAAGTGAAAAAACAATATATCAAACTTAATGGAACAATACAATATACATTCACATAAGTATATGGCACACAGTCTACGAATTTGAAGTAGAAAGGCACCATTTACAAGAAACAATGAATAACGAAAGAGCATATTTTATGATGTAAAGACCAGTCACTATACAACCTGAAACAAAAGATCACAGTTCAAATAAACCAACTCCTCATAATCTAAACAGAATGGTATTGGTATAATAATTATTAAAAATTATCCCTGAACTCCCAGAAATGGTATACACATGGTGCATCTACACATGTAATTAATATGATACATTTGAGCTGGAGGAAACTGCTCCTGGGCACAGCACTTACACATGTGCCAAGTACAGCAGCAATTTGAAACAGGGTGGAGCAGGCCCCTACCCGGCTGGCCTGTCTGGGCACAATTTACACCTGCGGTCAGCATCCACATGCGTGTTTCAGGGCAGTAAATTACTCTGCCATAAGATAGTACTGTCCCAGACAGTATATTTCTTACAGCAGAGTTAATTTACTACCAACTAATAATGGCGCATGTGTAGACAGTGACACTTTATTGAAAGGTTAATTAGTCTACTGTGCAGTAAAGTGCATGTGTAGACCTACAGAGACTTCATGACTAAAGAGAAGAGCTCGCCCAATATGTATAAAAAAAATCATTATTTTAGCTCCAAGCTAACTATAGGAACTGATTTTTTCATTATTATGCAGATCTGAATTCTGTATGTGCTAAGCAGTATGATTAGGTTGGTCATAAACTTTGGACTATACCTTTACAATACTGAGATACAGCCTCATTTTCAGAATCCTAGGTTTGTTGTGCAGATTCATTTGCTAACATCTGACATGACAAGAATATGTATTAAATCTAAACAAGGCTGAAGCATTAAGAAACTATTTAAAAAGCCCCAAAGCCTCCCCTTTCCTCTCTCACATTGTTAAACAAGTTAAACTAATTTCAAACTCAGATTTTTCCATTCAAAAGGAACACGGAGAGATGATTCAAAACAAGTCAGACCTGACACTGCATTGATGTTTTACAACTCACCGGAAAATTAAGCCGAATGTCCACACCTTCAGCCAGTTTATCTAACACAGTAGAGTATCCCACTGTTAAAAGAGTGTGATCTCCAGCAAACTGGGCAAAAAATTCATTGTGGTCCCATGAGCGTGCAGATACCTGTGGACAGAGCATGCTCAGCTGTCTCTTCAAATACAAAGACACAGCACATTTACAAGTCTTGCAATTTAGAAGGAGCTACTCTGGTTCTCTCTATAACAGTGTTATCAGAGCAACCTAGTACATGATAACATGAACAAAAACAAACAAATTCTTTAATTTTACTGAGGCAAAAATATTGAAAAGTTCTAATTAGAAAAAAATGGCAAATATGGGGTTAAAAGTTCCCAGGAAAGCCTATTCGGAACACTGTTTAGCAAAAAGCAAGAAGAGAACTGAGAGAAGTGTATGTAGTTACATGCAGGATACTTATTCATAGAATCATAGAAAATTAGGGTTGGAAGGGACATCAAGAGGTTCATCTGGTCCAACCCCCTGCTCAAAGCAGGACCATCCCAACCAAGGCTTTATCTATCCAGGTCTTAAAACCTCCAAGGATGGAGAGTACACAACCTCCCTGGGTAACTTGTTCCTGTGTTTTACTACCCCCCTAAGCCAGGGACAGACATTTAAAAAGCCTGAGCCCAAATTGATTCAATCTTCGCAGGTTAGTCTAATCTAGGTAGGTTAAACCAGTTTGTAACCAGGCAGACATCCCAGAAATGCGGACGCATGCCTGCAGTGGCTCAGGCTAGAAGCTGGGGGGTGCTACAGCAGACCTCCCTTCCCTTCCACAGAGCTAAGGTGAGGGGGCGTGGCCAGGCCCCACTCAGTGTTTATCACCCCATTAAGAAAACAGCAGAGGGACATTACCAGCTATCTGTTGGTTCTGCCTTTGTCCTGTGCGCCACAGCTCAATGCTGAGAGGCGTCTGTGAGAGATGGGGAAATGCCTGCTTAGCAGAGAGTGGGGGACGGGGAGAGCAGAAGCCAGGCAGACACCTGCAGAGACTGCCAGAGCTCCAGCCAGGGAGCAGAGGGGCGGAGCCAGCCCTGCAGTGGAGCAGAAAGCCCTGCCCAGCCTAGAGAACATGCTGGGGGAGTCTGATTTAATTTAAACCAGCAAGGGGTCTGGGACAGACATTGCATAAACTCAGTTTGAGTCAAATCAGTTAAGTCTAATATTGCATTCAACCAGGTTTATCTCAAACCAGTTTCAGCCATTTTCAAACTGGTTTATGTGCACTGAACATCTGTTCTGTTACAGATTTAAACCAGTTTCTGATCACTTAAGCCAGTTTGTGTGTAATGTCTGTCCCTAGCTCCAGTAAGAAAGTTTTTCCTAATATCTAATCTAAACTTCCCTTGCTGCAACTTGAGACCATTGATCCTTGTTCTGTTATCTGCCACCATATATTCTATTACATCTTTTGTCAAAACTGAAAATAAGACTATATTCATATCTAACAAAGATATTTGATGTTAGTTACACTGTTAGACAGCCAAATGGAAATAAGGGTGTTTAAGCATTAGCACCCAGCTAAAAGACTACAGAGGCATTCCCCAACTTACTGGGGAATGTTCTGGTGTTCATACATGCTAAAGGTGTTTAAAATGTAGCCCTTCCACTGGTTTAGCATACAGCAAGAAAAAAACCTGGCTAGGGTAGGTAAAATGGTGCATGTAAATACATACACAACACTGCCAGCACAACAGAATCAAAACTGGTATGCAGAGCTCAAGTATGCAGTAAATATCTGGGTATACAGAGCACAAATGTCTTGAGTCAAATCTTGTTAGGAACAGAGGAGTTTACAATAAAAATGCCTAGCAAAACTTATTTAAGGAATCACAGTTTCATGCATTTGATTGTAGCAACCATTGACTTCAAAAGGCTCAAAATAAAAATGCTCCAGTGGCACATTCACAAAGCTTACCAGAGAGAGGTTGCTGCCACAGGCATATTCCAGGTTACTGAGATGGAACTGTAGTACCTTTTCCTCCAGCTCACTGAACTGGATACCAGACTCCTGAATAAAGGCTTTGTAGATCTCCTGTATCTTCTCTGTATAGAAAAACATTGAAAATAAAATAGTAAAACTAAACTATTAGAGATCGGTACTCTCACAATCTCAGAATTTCTACATTTGTTATTAATACTCATCCATATGTATTTCCTCTGTAATGGAAAATCTAAACATCTTTCATATGTAATTAGATGAAACCCTAACTTTGGTTGGGATTAATTTTTTCCCTCACTGCAGATAAGGCTTTGAATATTTCCCATTGAAACATCTTCCTCAAAAAGACATCAGATAGCAGTGTCTAGGCTCAGGCAAAAAATTCATGAAAATGGAAGCCAAAAAAACCCCAACACTTCAAATAGATGGAAGAAAAATTTACTGTTTAGCTGCTATGTGTAGTGAATACTGTCATGGTGGAATTTTCAGGGATGTTCAATTCATCCAAAAGTTTTTTTTAACCCAAAACTCATGAATAATACTCTGAATGTCACCTTGTATAGAATCCTGCCTAATTTTAACAGAAAAAATCTGAGAGCATTTGGATTTGACCCAAGCTCACTGAAGCCAGAAGGTTTCTCTCCAGTGATTTCAGAGGGCCTTGGATCAAACTCTTTCAATGCATACTCATTAAAAAAAATGGAAAGTTACAGCTGACCCAATATCCTCTCTCTAGCCATGCCTGTTTCGGCAATTTAAGAGACAAAATAGTGGTGATTACTGTATATTTTGTTCAGTGAACTGATAAAAACGAAATCATAAAAACCAAGATCCTACATAGGAAAAAAGATGCACTTCAAATGAGATGTGACATAACTGCCAACTCCCAATATTGGAGGTATGGGGGGAAGTATATTATACTGCCTTCTGTAAATTCAAAGGCAAATCTCTCATCAGCTTCACTGGAGCCAAGATTTCACCTTAAACGTTTAAAATTAACCATATATGTAAACACTAGCAGATCCAGAAGGGGCAGGAGGGTATGGCCACACACCCTTTTGTCTGTGTGGCACATATGCAGTGAGCTTTCTGTGCTCACCAGCTTGTTGGCATGGCTCCAGAACCCAGACCATGAACACTGCTGGAACTCACTCTTCCATCCCCTTTCCCATCACTGAATTCAGTGACCAGGGAAAAGTGGGGAAAGGGGGAACAAGCAGCAGTGGCTTCCACCCCCTGGGTTCTGGAGACACGCTGACAACCTGGTAAGCTGAGAGCCACACAGCTTAAAGTGGGGTACAACCACCCCCACCCCTGGTCTGCCCCTGCATGCAAACATTTAAGAATGCTCAGAATACATATAAAGCAAAAACCAACCTCCACCTTCTGATGGATATAAATATATGTCTCAAATCTCTGGTGCAGAAATACAACTCCTACTTACCACCGAGAGGGACATCTTGATGCTGGCTCTTATCTTTTCTCCACTCAGAGACAACATCCAAGATGGCATTGAAATGGAAGTCCATGCGCTTATCTATAGTGGGATCAGTTATTCGTCCACCTTCCTGGATCAAATCACATCTCTCCCCAAGTCTGTGCATTTTAATGCCAAGCTTCAAAGGAAGTTTAAAAATAATAATAAAACATCTATGGGAACAACCTCATTGTCTAACTTGGTAAAAAAAACATTTAAAAATAAGGGGAATTTTTTAAAAGTAAGGTTATGTTACTAAATTTTTTTTCACATTTTAAGTAACTGGTCAGATTAAACCTGATTCTCATGCTCTTAAAATGATATTAATTTGATTTTCAAAGAGTTAGAACATGGTAAAGCTTAGAATGGGACAAATTTGTTTTTCCAGTTGACCAGACTCAAGGCATATACCAGGGGCTCCTCATATCCCTGTCTCCTCTCCCAGTATGCTATCCACCTATCCTTGTGCATTTCAGGGACTTGCTGCAATCTCACCCTCAATCCTTCCTCTAAGGATTGTGTCTTCCTCTGCTCACTCTATACTTCTAGATCTGCTAACTAGTCCAAACGAGTAGTCCATTTCTCCCTTCTGGTTTTCCAGGTTTTGCAAAAATCAGTACAATACTGGCCACTGATGGCCTAGAACAGTCCTTGAAATTCTGGAACAGATATCTGAAGAGACAGAACAAATGCTATCTAATCCACAGTTGCCTGCTTGGGAACATACCCCAGAATTTCCCCTCTCTCTCCATATATCTTAGAATCATGGAGAGGAGAGCTGGAAGGAAACTTAAGGTCATCTAAGTCCATTTTTTTTTTTAAGAGGAGGTTAGATCCCCTGCCCAAAGGCAGGTTCAACTCTACAAAACCACTTCTGACAGATCCATTTTTAACCTGCTCTAAAAATATGCAACAATGGAGATTCCAGTTTCCCTAGTTAATTTAAACTACTGCTTAAACATCCTCACACTTAAAAAGTTTTACCCCATGTCTAACCTGTATTTTCCTTGTTGCAACTTAAACCCATTACTTTGTGTGGGTCTCATGAAACTTGTGAGACTCTGAGATACATGTCACTTCAGAATATAGTAGGCAACCATCGATCCTCTGGATCATGGAGTACGCACAAGAGATCTAGTTAGGTACCTGATGAATCTGCTTATACAGAGTCCTAAACCATCACACCAAGACCTTCAACGTGTCTTGGCCCAGGCAAAAGTATGGAGGAGTGGCGGCTGCCCAAGACCTACCACCCCCGCTTTAGACAATTGAGAGGGAATCCAAAGGCCAGACCGAGTCCAGACATTCAGTGCCTCAATGATTGTAGCTGCCAGAGAGCAACAGATAAGAACTGCTAATGACCAATACCTCAGTGAGCGTATGTTTCTGTCAGGGTGAGTCCCTTAGCCTTTCTACAACCAAGGAGTCTGATTCTGAAGCTATGTGCATGACCTAAGCTAGTGGGGAAGGGACCAGACTGCTTAAACACTCTGAGATGCAACATATGAAAGCAGGGAGCTACGTTTACATGTAGAACCTGTAAAGGGTGAGAGACTAGAATACCCAAAAAGAGGCACCAATGCTGAATGCATGAGACTCATGAGGGACATGGGATACATGAGGGACCCAAGTGGGAGATCCCTATAAAAGCGCAAGCAAAGATGAGGCCTGTGGGACTGCCCTCACCAGCTAAGACCTGACCTGCAGCTCACCAGAGAAACTTCTGAATGCTTGGCTGCAGACTCTGTCTTCTGGACCACATACAACTTATGGAAAGTTTCTGTTGTGTCTAAGTTGTATGCTGTTGCTGTGTCTTATTTTGTGGTGTCTTAGCTTAAGCAAAGTTTTTCTGTTGTCCTTTGTCGCATACTTGAAATTGCAAATTGCTGTGGTCAATAAATGCTTTCTTCAGTTTCTTCAGACTATTCTTGTTCAAGCATTCATGAATCAGCACCACTACCCAAAATGTAATATTAAGTCTGGTAACAGATTTTGATGTCCCTGGACAAGCCTACTGAATTCATTTGGACTGAGATATTTTATTGTGTATAGCACTTAGAAAATTTGTTGAACACTGAACTTAAAAATTGGAAGCTGCTTGAACTGACAGCTGTTGAGGACTGCAAAATCTGTTCTGGGGGCTAGGATGTTTATTCACTTAAACTTTTGCAAGGAGGGAGCTCAGTTTAAAGTTGGAATTCAGGAGCTCCCCCCTTTTTAGATTAGCTTGATGCAGCAGCTTTAGGAGCTGTCAGAGCAAATGAAAGGGTCAGAAACCTGCCAATGCCAGAGAAGTAAGTGGTAGGCAAAACCCAGTCCAGGTTTTTGGAATAAGGATGCATTCTGTAAACTCAACGCATCTGTGCGTGTATGTGGTTGGTCCTCTTGGGTGGCTTCAAAAAGGAATTTATGTTCAAATAAAAAAAGCTAAAAAGTGGGTAGCCATTCAAGGTTTATTGCCTATAGTAGCCCGAGGATTAACTCAGGAGAAAGAAAAGAATCAGCCTTTGGAGAATTAAAATTGTAGACCAGCTTGAGGGAAAGAATTTAAAAACCCAGATGGAGGTGTTGCAGGGAATGTTGTCAAAGGATACATGTTATCAAGGATGCACAGCTGAACAAGCCTGCAGATCACAGTACTTGTAAGTGGAAGATCAAAGCGTTAGGACAAAAAGCTGAGCATTTCACAAGGAAGTGTAGCCACCATGAAGGTGGAAATAGAAGGGGCACTGTTGGTAGCTGAGGGGCTAAGAGGGCCAAAGCAGGAGCCCAGAGGAGATGACAGTAATTGTGAAATAAGGCAGCATGTAAATGTGAATGATGATAATCATGGCTCCAATTTGTATCATTCTGATTATAATCATGAGGATGATAGATGGGGTTCAATACTTAAAAGACCTCCTCCACACACCCTATTAAGGGAAGAGATGAAAGGAAGGGTTAATTCAAATCCCTGCTTCAGCTTATCCACAGTCAGATAAGCCTTTTGTACTAGAGTTGTTCATTCCAGGGGATAGGAATGGTGTCAGGAATGTATAAAACCAAAGGCTTTCACAGTCCTTCCCCCGGATGTAAAGAGTAAGCCTGTGACATTAGTTAAAAAATGGGCAGACAGCAGTGCTGGAGTTTCATCAGTGCAGTTTCTTGGTGGCATGTGCACGTGTTTAGAAGGCACAGCATCGGAACTCCCACTCCAGGATGTTATGGAGGGCACTAAAGATGGAGCAGCAGACTGTAAAGGGTAACCAGGAGGGGAAAGAAAAGGCAAAGCTGGTTGATTCCCTCAGCGTGTAAGTGTAGTGTAGAATGCTGCAGTATAAAAGTAAAAAGACATAATTGGTGAGTTGCTGAGAAAGGCTGGAAAAACATGAAGAAAAAAATGGACTGGGGAATCACACAATGTTAATTGATGGGAGTGGCTCATTTTCAATTGTAAGCAACCCTTCTGCTGAAAACAAGCAAGGAGAAAAATATAAAGGGGTTTAATAAAAAATGAATCAGTAGTAGCCTTCTCACAAAGGAAGCAATATGAGAAGGAAAAGCTAGAAACTGAAAGACCACAGGCTTTTTTGCTGCAGAAGGATTTAATGGTTAACTATCCCAAGTTCCCATTACAGAGGAATTAAACATTTTACTAGGTTCTACTCATTGTTCAGGCAAGTTTGTAAGTGTTAAATGAGCCCTCACAGGCCCTAACAACATCGGGAGCTTTGATTGATTATGCTAACACGTGTTTGTAAACTGAAATGTGCTGTTATTAACAAAGGTGAAGCAGCTATAGAAATTGGAGCCAAGGAGTATTCTCTGTAAACCCCCTCTAACAGCCAAAAACTGTTGCTAAAAGAGGATGAGTATTGATAGAAAAGGTGAGAAATGTTTTTAGGGAGAGTAAATAAGACTATAGTTTGTTTCTTAGAAACTATCTTAACAAAAAGGAAGATTTCATCAGCAAATTGCTCCCACAGACTGTACCTCTTTAAAATTCTTTGACTTTAAAGTTCTTTGTACAACTGACAGGGTTTGCAAGAGATTTTTTATCAAGGAATACCCAAAGGAAGCTGTCCCATTGTGTATGTTGTTAAAAAGGGAATGCCCTCAAAATGGGCCCCAAACATGCGCAGTAGGTAAACGAGTATGTCCACTCCTTGCAACTAAGGGCACCTATACACGGGACAGACCTCTGCTCTGACACGTGTTAATTAGCAACAGAGTAGACTCAATTAATTGAGCCTGCTGGAGTGTGCTAATTAGCATGCTCCAGCAGCTTCCGCATCACATGTATTCAGTGTCCCCACATTTCAAAATGGCAGCAGGAGCATTTTAACTAAAGCTCATCAAACAAGCTTTAGTTAAAGCGCCCCTGCCACCATTTTGAAGCATGGGATGCCTGGATACATGTGATGCTGCAGATGCTTTAATTAAAGTGGCTCTCAGAGCCCCCCCAACTGCTCTGTAGCTTCAGTGGAGGATCGTATGTGGCTCCCAGGGCAAGTAACTCTGGCCACTCCTGCACTATGCATTGAGCTGGCTAGGCCTCAACCCTCTACCACACCCAAACCTAAAAATGATAGTGATAGCTCCTCTTAGAGGGCCAACAAGGAGAGGAGTATTGGCAAAGACTTGGCAAAGTCATAACATTCTCTGGCCCTTTAACTAATTCTAAAGCTACATGCATAACCTGAGGTAGCAGGGAAGGGGCCAGACTGCTTAAACATGTGACATAGAAAAGCAGGGAGCTACATTTACATGTAGAACCTGTAAGGGGTGAGAGACTGGAATACCCGAGAAGAGGCAAGAGAGAGTGATGCTGTATGCATGAGTTTTGAGACATGGGATATGTGTGGTATCCAAACAGGAGAAGGAGGTGCAGATCCCAGTAAAAACCCAGCAAAGATGAGGCCTGTAGGACTGCCATCACCACCTAAGAAGACCCTGACCCATGGTCCCCCAGAGAAACTTCTAAATGCCTGGCTACAGGCTCTGTCTTCAGGACTATGTAAGACTTATACAAAGTTTCGGTTGTGTCTAAGTTGCGTGCTGTTGCTGTGTGTTAGCTTAAGCAAAGTTTTTCTGTTCTTTGTCACATACTTGGAATTGCAAATCACTGTGCTCAATAAACGCTCACTTCAGAGAACGGACTATTCTTGTTCAAACATTCATGAATTCAGTGCCACTACCTAAAATCTAATATTAAAGTCTGATAACACCATGACTGTCTGTTCTATTACAGCTGCAAAACACTTTATGCAGGCTTAACATGCAAGAGGTATAACTTTTGTACAGGCCCTTGGTTTATCTATGAGACAAACTAAAGATACAGTGAATGTAACTTCTGTAAGCTAATTATATCTTCTTCTTCTCCCTTGAATCAAGCTGGACAGTAACTGACTGCTCTTGTTATAAAAGCATATAAACCTACCGACTCAGATGTTGGAAACAAACTCCTTGACATACAGAAAACATTAACTCATGTAGAGCACAATAATGGTGCTTATGTATTTGCAAGCTAACAGGCCTTTATATTGGTAACATTTTTCATTAACAGTAATGCATAAGCACTGCAGGGAACTCACTTGCTCACACATTAGTGCTACTGGGTTGTTGACGCATCCATTGACAATCTGTGCTCCCCTTCCAACAGTGATTCCTTTGAAAGTTTTATCATCCCACACTCGCCCACCGATTCTCTCTTTAGCTTCTAGTATGATGACCTGTAACACAAATGTAATGCAAGAAGTTGTTGAAGAAAGAACACAGACGAGGTTCTTTGGGTAAGTCTAATATCTTTTCTTAAACCAATTCAAATACTTGGAAAAAATTCTTCATTGCCAGCTTTTGGGCACAAACACCCTTTGTCAGGCTGAGGAAGCACCTGTGGTTGCTGTGTGCTCTTCTTGGATGGAATGAATAGAAAGGAGCCAGGGCTCATATGCATACAAGAAAGCCAGTCAGTGACAATGTAAATAGAAGTCAATGGGTGAGAGACAGGTGGTGGGCAGAAGGGATCGGGAGGGGAATGGATGTAGCTGGTAAATAATGGAGAGATACTTGGGGAGTCAAATGTTAGGCAGGTTATCATAAATACAATGCCTATATATTTAGTCCATGATTTTTTGTATCCAGTAGGTTGATATAGTGAAATTCATAGGGTCCTCTGTGAAAGGTGTTTTATAAATTCCCTTTGAGGATCAAAACTGAGAGACTGGAAAGAGAGTGGTTTTCTTGTGAGAAATGTGTCCCCACAGGTAATTGGGTATTCTTGTCTTTGACAGATGTCCAGTATGCGTTCATTCTGGTACGCAATAATCATGAATTAAACATAGACATTAGATTTTTGATGTATTATAACCTGCCTAACATCCGACTCCCCAGGTACCTCTCTACATTCATTCTCTACCCTCCCCACTCTGGCTTCTTTAGTATGCATTCCATCCAGGAAGAGCACAGATCAGCTGCATAGAAGGGTGTTTGTGCATGGAAGCTTGCAAAGAAGAATTTTTTCCTATTATTTGAGTTGGTCTAATAAAAAAATATCAGATTTACACAAAGAACCTTGTCTGCCTGTGTCCTTAGACCAATATGGCTACAACCTATACCCTCGAAGAAAGAATTGTTTTTAAACATACTTATCTAGACTCCAGGGTAAAGAAATATTAAGCCCTTTAGTAATGTCATTCATTTGTGTATTTTTCCACAAAGATGTAGCAGGCCTGTTTCACATGAGTCCTTTTCCCATTTGTAGCTAAACAGCCACTTTAAAGGCACATATAATATGCCAACAGAGATAAATGCACATGTTTAAAGTAAAGGCACATATAAACTTCAGCTAAAAATAATAAGAACAGAAACTGAGCATATAGTCATTTCCTTTTAAAAATCAACAAGGTTTAGATGCTCTAATTTTCAGGTTTAAGAAAAGGGACTGCATTTGTCCAATGCATGCTGACCTTTTGCTGCTTCTTTTAAAATGAACTTAATATGGATCTAACATACTGAAAATATATATTTTGCTAATAAGGTAAATTACATTTACAATTATTTATTTTTCTGATTGACTATGTAATTGTTGCAAGACATATTTCGGTATGATTGACCCCTGCATGGCACTGCATCCTACAATGTAATAATGTTAACATTGTCTGAAAATGGAGCAAGAGAATATCAGATAATATTTAAAAAAAAGAATACAGACAAGGATTTTTCAAAAGAAAATCAGGGAGGTAGGTAACTCTCTCTCCTTGAATTTCCAATTCTGCAAACATTTAAACATAAATTGTCCATTGATTTGGATGGAACTATCTGTGTGCAAAGTTACTTGAGCAAGTACATTACTGCAGGATCAAGATAACAAGAGTCTAAAAAGGTAGAAAGGAAGAAGGCAAAGCCAAATCCATATAATTTATATATAGACCATGCCTCAAATATTTTTCACTCCAGTAAAATTTAACAAATAAGAACAATCATTTTTCTTTATTTACATCAACATAATCAAGGATCAAGGTCTTTATTCTAGGCACTATTATGTCCTCATGTCATTTTTTTTTAACAAGGTTATAGGAAAGAAGCACTGGAAGGGACCTCATGAGGTAATCTAGTACAGCCCCCTGCTCAAGGCAGGATTGTTGTTCCTGATTAAATCAAACCAATCAAGTGCGTGTCCAACCTGCTCTTGAGATTTTTGAGGGATGGAGATGCTGCAGCTTCTCTACAAAGCCTGTTCCAATGCTTGACCACCCTTGTAATCAGTTCCTCCTAGTCTCCAACCTAAGTTTCCTCTGCTGCATCTTGAGGCCATTGCTCGTAAACTGTTCTCGGTGGTCATGGAAGACAGGACTACCTCCATCCTCTCTGTAATCACCCGTCAAGTATTTGAAGATGGTTATTAAATCCCCCTCTGTCTTGTCTTTTCCAGGCTAAATAACCCTAGTTCTTTCATCCTTTCTTCATAAGTCATGCTTTCCAGGCCCCTAATCGTTTTTGTTCCTTTGCACTGGACTCTTTCCAATCTATCCACATCTTTCTTGAAATATGGGGCCCAAAAATGGAGACAGTACTCAGGTGAGGCTTCATCAGTGCTGAACAAAATGGAAGCATCACTTCCCTTGATTTGCAAGCTGCACTTCTGTTAATACAGCCTAGTATGTTTTTAGCTTTTCTTTTGCAGCAAGAGCACACTGTTGGCTCATATTCAGATTATGGTCTACTGTGATCCCCAAGGCCTTCTTTGCAGTACTGCAGGACTTTGCACTTTTCTTTGTTGCATTTCATCTGATTGATTTTGTTCACTGTCCAACGTAAGGCAGACAAATTGGATAGCAGGACTGAAGTCTTGGACTTCAAAAATGCAAATTTCAACAAGCTTAGCTCACTAGTAGGGCAACTGCTGCGGGACCAGGGACCAAAGGCTAAAGGTGTGCATGAAGAGTGGCTGTTCCTTAAGGACACAATCCTTGAAGCACAAAGGAAGTCCATTCCCATGTGGAGAAAAGGTAACAGAAGGGCTGGGAAGCCCTCTTGGCTAAACAGGGAAAACATGGTCCTCTTAAGAAAGAAGAAAGAGTCTTATAAATAATGAAAGCTCAGGGAAGGCCCTAAGGAGGACTACTCCACGATGGCCCGCATTTACAGGGAACAGATAAGACACACTAAACCAGTGATCTTAGATTTGCAATGGGAATCAAGGACAACAAGAAGTTCTTCTTAACGTACATAGGGAACAGAAGGAAAACAAATGGGAGTGTGGGGCCATTTCTTAACAACTCAGGGGAGATAATTACTGGCACCCAGGAGAAAGCTGAACTCCCAAATGAGTACTTTGCTTTGGTCTTTCACCAAACCAAGGGGAAAACCATGTCAGGTAGAGTACAGGATAAGCACAGTAGCAATAACTGCCTTCCTACTATTGCCGCAGAATTGGTATATGACCAATAAAAAAAAATTATACAAGTCAGTAGGACTGGATGATCTTCATCCGAGAGCGCTGAAGGAGCTGGCCAAAGTCATTGTGGAACCCCTGCTGAAACTCTTACATAATTTGTGGTGCTCTGGAGAAGTCCCTGAGGACTGGAAGAGGGTTAATGTTGTGCCCATCCACAAAAAGGGCAAGAGAGAGGACCCAGGTAACTGTAGGTCAATCACACTAACTTCCATCCTAGGGAAAACCTTAGAAAAGTTCATCAAGGAGTCTATCTGCAGTAAGTGTGCAGAAGGCAAGATTCTGAATTACAGCCAGCATGGTTTCGTTGCAGGCAGGTCTTTCCTTACCAAAGTCATCTCCTTCTATGACCAGGTAACTCACCACCTGGACACAAGAGAGCAGGTTGATATTGTATACCTTGACTTTGAAAAGGCCTTTAATCGAGTATCCCACAACGTCCTTGTGAGAAAACTGAAGGATTGTGAACTTAATTCCAAGACAGTCAGATGGGTGAGAAACTGGCTGCAGGATAGAACCCAGAGAGTCATAGTGAACAGTAGGGCTATGCAAAGCTTTGGTAGCTGATTTGATCTGGAGGAGATTTGGCCCAATTCAGGGACTGAATCTCTGAATCTGAATCAAACTGAATTGGGAGACCAAGTAAAAACTCCAAATCGATTCAAAGCATCCAAACTGACTTGAAGTGGTCAAGCCAGGGCTGGGGAGGGGGCGTGTTACTTGGGAAGAGGGACAGGGGGATGCAGGATGCACGCGTGGCAGTGCTGGGAGTGGGGGCTCTGCCCTGCTGCTGCTTGCCCAGCTGGGGCGGGGAGGGTGCGATGCAGGCGCAGCTCGCTCCAGGCATAATGGAACAAGTGGTAGCGCAGCATAGCGTCCACTCCCAGCGCCGTTGTGTACTCCGCACCAGCTGGCAAGCAGCGACAGGACAGAGCCCCTGCTGATGTAGGTGCAGCAGTGCTGGGAGCGGGGGCTATGCCCTGCTGCTGCTTACCCCCTTCCTCTCAGAGCGAACCATGCCTACATCAACCCCCCCACCCCAGCACTGGCTGGGCAAGCAGCAGCAGGGCACAGCCTCCACTGCTCCCCTCGTTGGGGCAGGCACAGCCAAAGAAGCCACAGAAGAAGCCCCCATGGCTGTCTTGCCTGGCTCCAGCCTAATCCTGGCACTTAAATAAAAAAAAAAGCCCCGCACTCACTAGATGTAGAAGCAGCAACTGGGGCCTCTGGGCGCTTGTGGCAGAGCCCCGCTGCATAGCACAGGGCAGCAGGGATTTTGCGCCCCCAGTACCTGAATGAAAGGGACCTGGGGGTAATAATAGACCACAGTATGAATATGAGCCAGCAGTGCAATGCTGTAGCCAGTAGGGCAAATAATACTCTGGCATGCATCAATCGATGCATCTCCAGCAAAACCAATAAGGTGATTCTTTCGCTTTACTCAGCACTGGTGAGACCACAGCTGGAGTACCATGTCCAGTTCTGGGCACCACAAATTTAACAAGGACATGGACAAGCTTGAGAGAGTCCAGAGAAGAGCCACCCATATGAGCAGAGTCTTAAAAGGCAAGCCATACAAGGAAAGGCTGAGGGATCTGGGGAAAAGAAGGCTGAGAGAGTACCTGGAAGCAGCTTCCCACTACACTAGGGGGGGTACGTCAAGGGCTCAGGCACCAGGGCACCCTTGGGGAAAACCAGGAGTAATGGCCACAAACTCCTGGAAGAACAATTCAGGCTCAACATTAGGAAAAACTTCTTCACAGTCAGGGACTGTGGAATAAGCTCCCTCCAAAGGTGGTGCAATCACCTACGCCAGAAATCTTCAAGAGGAGACTAGACAGTCACCTTGCTGGGGTCACCTGACCCCCAGTTATCTTTCCTGGTTGGTGCAGGGGGATGGACCCGATGATCTTCCGAGGTCCCTTCCGGCCTTACAATCTATGAATCTGCAAATTTGTTAAATGTGCACCCTATCCCATCATCCAAATCATTAAGATGTTAAAAATACTGGATGCAGGACAGACTCCTAGGAAACCCCACTTAACACCTCCTCTCAAGTAGACGTTGAGCCATACTCATTAAGCATGACGATCCAACCACTTCTGTATCTGTATCCCTATAATATTTTTCTCTAGACTGTATTAGTTGCTTAATTAGAATGTTATAGGAGACTGGGCCAAAACCTTGCTAAAGTCAAAGTATGTCACATCCACTGCTCCCCACCTATTCTAGGTGGATGAGACCATCTCCTTATTACAGAAGGCAATCAGGTTAATCAGGTGTGATTTGATCTTGGTGAATAACAAAGAGTAAAATATTTTATTCAAATACTACTGTTTTCCTTTTGGATTTTTTTGTTTGTTTTGTTTTTTCCCTTCTTTTTAGGGTAAAACAGACAACCTGTTGCCTAGACATTCCCTAGAAACAACATTCCCTAACTGAACTGTGGGTTCTGTAAGTTTGTTTGCCTCAAGTATCCATCTGTAATTTTCCCCATTGAACAAAGGATTTCTAAATTCTGTGAGGTGCAAAATCTAATTTAAGTTCTAAAGCTTCTTACCTTAATTCCAAAATTGTGAAGCTGTTTTGCAGCTGCTAACCCAGCTGCACCAGATCCAACAATAATGACAGATTTCTTTAAAAAGAAAAGAGAAGGAAAAGCTGAAAACAAACTTTGAGGGGCAAAAATAAAGGTGATCATTATACATTGTCAATGTTTCTCCCATTGATTTCTGCCAAACCCACTAATTTCATATGCTGTATGATCAGGCCTCTAATACTTTGATACTGGGCTGGTTGGTGGCCCAGTTGTGGCCCGCAGGGTTTGTTGCTACAGCTACTGCTAGCTTGAGAACCGAGTCGCTTGCACACAATCACTTGCCCCACACTTCCTTGCCTGCTGCTGGTACAGGGGGAGCAATAGGGGAAATAGCAGCCAGACAGGAGGCTGTGGGCCACGTGTTAAACTGTTACAGAAAGTTAGACAACACAGTGCTAGAGTATGGAAAAGAAGCACAGTATAAAGCAGGTATTAACACAGCTTGATCTTGGCTACCATGGCCACAGAAACTGTGCATCTGATATGCCCATTTACTTCAGTGGAAGCAAATGCCTTGCCATGTTTAAAGCCAATCTTGACAGACATGGCTTGAACTGCTGATTGCAAAAAAATCCCCAAATATGAATGGACAGAACATGCTGCTACTTAATTTCTACTGCATTAAAAAGTACACAACATTATGGTGCCCTACATTGTGGTATTCTTTGGGAAGAAGATACTGGTCAGGACTGACTGACAAAATCCCTGTATTAATCAGCCCTTTTCTTGTCATAAAGTACAGAATCCTCTCCATCTCTTGTACACAGCGAATACGCACAAGCCCCCGAACAATGATGTGATGCGTACATTTCTGAGGAGTGAGAGCTTCCTGCAAAAAGAAATAAAAACACAAAATAAAAGCTTATTTTCATAATATACTGCACATGTTCTCCTAAAGAGTAAAATTTACAATTTAAACTGTAATTCAATGTAACCATTAATTGTACAGTCCCAGAGAGATCAGCAAAACTCATGGTCATTTTTGTATGCCAGCCAACTGTTTAGGGGAGTTCTGATTCTTTCAATTCTCCCAACGAAACAAGAGAGAATTAACACAGGACAAAGAAAACTACAGTACAAGATACCTCACTACATCCACAATAGCCAAGACATTTCCTTAAATTTCATAATGTGATCCTAAGAATTCAAGCTCTTCTACCTCTTGCCACATGCATCTAGACAGTAAAGATATTTCTACACTACTTCAACCAAGTAAACTCAGGATCACATCCAGAAATTTTGCATCACATAGGGGCACCAAAATCTAGAAATATTAACTATGGAAAAGCCCAAAGGGCTACTTACCTCATTTATATCAGATGCAATTCAAAAACAACTCCAATAAATTCAGTGGTATTAAATCAAAAGAAGTTAAAAGGCTTATGACCTGCTGTCTGAGGTTGCTTGCATGGTGACAGAGATCTAAGAAGGCAGCTGGGAGTTTGTGACACAAACAGCATGCTCCACAGAGCCATCTGGGATTGATCTTTTAATCTAGGCAATTGACAGCTAAAAGCTTTGATATCACATTTTCCCTCCCTAGTCATACTTAGCTATAATTTTGCCAAAAGCTTTCTCACTTACCTCCATCAACATTCACATAAACAAACAGCAATGAAATACTCTAAAAGGCTATTTAGAAATATGTGAAATGCCCCTTTGCCAAACCTTAATACTCAAACATTTTTTAAAACGCTGAATTTTAAACGAAGGTTCTTGGCATTTTCAACTGCAATCAATTTTTATGGTTTGATCCTATTTTTTTCTTAAAGACTTCCTTAAATTTAAAAATGCCTTTGCTACATCTAAATGAAGAGCATCCCATGTGAACTCTTCTCCTGGGAAAACTCCCCGCATGTCAGAGCAGCACTTGAGAGCACCTACTTCTAGTAAATGTAAAATTATACCATTAATTATTAGCCTTTCTTACTTTGCAGTTTGTATACCACAGAGCCAGAATGAGGTTTCTTAAGGCCAAGTACATAGTAGGGTCTCTTGAATATTCTGGGAACTCATAGAGTTCATCTAGTTCCATGACATCTGGTCTCACACAGAGTGCTTTACCACATTCATTGGGCTGGTAAAAAGGCTGGAAGTATTTGTTCAACCCTGAAACTGAATAAAGACAGGCCGTGAATTAGTCATATTCTGCTGTATCACTGCTCTCAGATTATGTACTGAATATACAGAGTTCATCCTTCTACCTGAAGAGGTTTGGATCCATTCCCACTGCTTTGTTTTGTCAGATTCAAAGAACAGGAATGGAGTTCAGGACTTTGGGTGCAGAATCAATACAGGCTTAATAGGAGGAGTTCAGAGGACTCCATTTTTCAAGCTCAAGCTCCCTGGCCCACTGTTGTAGTGACTGAAAATAATCTTCCAACAGTTGTTTGGTGGTTTACATGAAATAAGGCTGGTTGTCTCGCTCTAGATTTTAACAGAAAGAAGCCTGCAACACAATGGTGAAGCTCTAGAGAGAGTAACATCTGAAAGGACAGGAGAAAAGGAGCTGAGGCAGAGCAGTTGGGTGACGGAACTGTCACTGCTTATCCACATCCCAGGCCAATGGAAAAGAGAGGATTTAAACACCAGGATTGTCAGTCTGAGATTTTGGAAGCATGCAGTTTATTTAAGGAGGAAAACTGGAGTTTAAGAAGTCTAGTCTCTTTATCTGAGGCTCACAAGATTCTGTTATACCAGAATTGGTCAAAAAAAGTTGTATTTTTAAAGGAACCTATGCATTTTCACTCTGGCAGGGATACAACTGGCATTTGGCAGGCAGATACCATGTTCCTTGTTCCACACCCATTTCTGCCAACAAAAGGTATTTCAGAAGGAATAGCAACCTATGCAGTCACTGTTCAGTTCAAAGGTCCAAGTTCAAAGATCTGCTTCTAAAAGATAAAGTACTACACTTTTCAAAATGACTTAGGCACTAGAGTCTAAAAGTTACGCTCACTAATTTAGAATAAAACTTATGCTCCTCAATTACATTTGAAAAAAAGCCACTTTCAAACCCAAGTCATTTAGATGCTTTTGAAAATTGTTAAAATTAACTCAGAGAAACTATGACTAACACAATCACATGGGAAAATGGATTTAATGAAAGGAGCCAAAGCCAAAAGGTGCTCTAGTCTGAGAGAGAGAATTCTTTCTTCTCTCTGAAAAAGAGCTGAATACATTGAAGATTAAGTTGCTAGTCAGATTCTGACATCAGCACTGCAGATAACACAGTTAGGTCTGCCATAGACTATTTTGTTCATAGATAATTGAGCACACTGATACTTTCAAAATCTTTAAAGAATAATAATGATTCTTTGCATTTCTAAAACCCCATCTCATCCAAGAACTTACAGGCACTTTAAAGCATTAATAATGAAGTCCTCACAGAAGTGCTGAGAGGCAGGAAAGCATTATTGCCTCCACTTTATAGAGAAGTAAACTGAGGCATGCAAAAGTGAAAGGGTTATAGAGGGCGCATCTACACATGTGCTTTAATGCACCTATTTTACCATGCATTAAAGCATCACATAAACAACCATGCGATTACACTAATGTGCAGTAAAATAAGCTACTGCGCATTAAGCATCACTTTAAAAACATGTGCTTTCGCTACTGCACATTAGGGCAGCCTAATGTGCATTTATTTAGTACCTCATGTTAGAGGTAGTAAATTTAAGATGCATTAGGAAAAGTGCATTAATGCATATGTAGACATGCCCAGGAGGTCACAGAGAAGAACTGGAAATACAACATAGATTTCCTGTCACTGGGTCACATGGCTAAACCTCAAGGCTTTCTATTATCCTGATAAGCATGCAAGCTAAATATAAGTGAATTTATAACCTTCAAGGAAGGCCAAAAAATAAACTATTAATATTTATATGACAGAGCTCTGAAAATAGTCCTTACCAGCCAAATTAGGCATGCTCTTTAAATGCTCTAACTTCACAGTGTTGGATTCACCCAGTAATCGGTTAGTGCTGGTACAGGATGGACTCATGCCCACACAATCTGGATAGTATGCAGCGAGAAAGGGAGCTGCTACACTGTCTTTCAGCAAGGGAGGGAGAATGAGCATGGAGTACCACCAGTGGTCTGAGACTTCAGCAACTCTCTGGTTGGACAGGGAAATGGAAGAGAGAGGACAGAAGACAACCATCAGTACTTTGAAAACATTTTGATTAGCTTTCACCCTCAGTACTAAGACCCACCAGAACTCAAAATACCAACCTCAAGAAAAAAAGACTTGCTAGTCTCGCACACATTTTCCCCACACCTGTCCCTCCTCAACTCCAGGCTCTGGTTCCCAACTGAACAGAGACATCTAACGTGTGACAATCACCTAGGCTCCAGGGAACAGCAGTTCAGATATGTTCTTGTGCTCAGCATTTCTTATTGGCTAGCCCTATATACCTTTCTGCTCAATGAATGATTTTTTGTGGAACAACATGCCAGGACACCTGACTTTTCCTACTGACTGCATAGGCACTAACTCCCTTTCTTTGAATTATCCTCCTAGTGCTAGGTGCCTACATTTTTCAGTGTTGTGAAACTTAAATTGAAGGTGTCTGAGGTACTTTTGAGTCATATCAGTGCCAAGTTTACAGGCTAACTTGATACTTCGAAGTAGAAGAGCAGGAGCAACCGTGTACACCCTACTCACCAAATCCTCAGGCATGGAACACTGGTCTGAGCCCTCAGTCTGAAAAAGAAGGTAACTATATCAGAGCCTTTCTAAAGTTGTGCTAAAAGATTATTTTAAAAAAGCAGCATGTGGTACAATTCTCTTCGTCTTAAAAATATTAGAAACAATTTGTTTTAATGCCTGTATCACAGTTCTCCTATTTATATTCACATAACTAACCAAAATAGTAAATGTATAGTACATAATAATATTTCCCTTCATAGTGTTTTTATGACAGAAAGTTCCTTGATGATTGCCAAGAGTATTCATTTAATCTACTACTCACACATTAAATATATAACGTAAGGGCATGAATTTTAAAGCTGAAGACATTTTGGCTTGAAATGAATTTCAATGCTCAACTATCAAGCTACACACTCTTTTGCATATGTGCTTATCTGGAACAAGGTACAAAAATCACATGTACAAAATTCTTCCTCATCATCCCCAGGACACCTCTTTCACATGTATAATCAGTCATTCTTCAAGGCAAGCTCTCTCAGTAACAAGTTTGTTTTGGTTTTTTGTAGCGAATTAAAAGGTGCCCTAGTGATACTAAAATCAGCATAAGTTCTAGGTAGAAATGTAGTAAAACAGCCAAGTGGAATTTTATCACATTTTCCAGAAAGAATCCAACTCCGGGCTGATAACAAACATGAGATTTTTTTTTTTCTAAAGAGCATCTTTGTCAGAGAGTTTAAAGATTAACTCCTGTCTCCTCTCCCCTGCCCCTCCACTCCCCAGTTTTAAACGTGCCAGAATTTTCATCCTAAGAGCACAGACAGGAAAATTGTTTACACTAGCATAATTGACACTAACACCAATGTAAAACAAGTAAGAAATAGACAAGGCAAACCCAAAGCCAGGATATACCTTTGTCCAATCCAATAGAGAATTATATCTGAAAGAATCGGAGGTAAAGAAAATCTTAGCTCGGTAAGTAACAGTGAGACCCCTAACAGATGTGCAGGTAAAGGCACAATGGGATCTGATGCATGATCCACATAATCATGTTTCCTGCCATGACACATGCCTCACTGCCAGTGCAGGGGGAGCCTGGAATCATAATCCCAGGCTCTCCTTGACCTGGCAAGTAACCAGCCACCAAGGCTGCTGACAGACATAAAAAAGAACAACACATACGTGCTTTACTGGAAGAGGCAGCACATAGTTCAACCCAGCTCCACAGCATCTATATACAGATAATACGCTTTAGCGGGGCTTTTAGGCTCTTGTATCTAACAGCTGATTCAATCAGCTATTAGATCAAAGCACCAAAAAAGCCCTGCTGAAGTGCCCAATTTATATAGATGTGGAGAGCCAAGTCAAATTGATACAACGCCTCTTCTGGGCATGTGATGGGCTTGGTGCAGGGACACACCAAGTTTAAACTAAAGTGCCATTTTTTTTCCTAATTTTATGTCTGTAAGCAGTCTGAGTTATTACATTTTTTTGCAGAACAACTTTGTGGCTTATTCCTTGTTTTATGATGCCATTAACTGCTTTAATAGGTGGTCAGGTTACAACTCAAGATGTGATTAACTGGTTAATCATGTCTTAAGCATTGTGTGTGGCAGGGGCCCGATTTACATCCTGCCTGCAGTTTTTGCATCCACTCTATGGTAGCCATTTGCAAAAAACAAACAAGGCTGCTTCCCCACCATCTGGTGCAGCACAACAGTAACTGCCTATGGGGTGAGCTACACCAGAATAGGTATACATTTGTCTGTTCTTGATTCCAACATAATGTACATCGGTGCAGAAAACCAATGAGAGTTATACCAGAGCATGTGCTGATCCATTCCCAAAGCATCTGAAAATGTAGCTTTACAAGAGAAGTACGATTTTGATATTAAGACACTGTAATGACTCGTACAGATTTTAGCAGACCACTTTCTTCATGTTAAATCCAAAACTTTCCATTTAGCTTGTCAGCAAAGCAGCATGTTAATTAATTTTTAAAAATACCATAGGATTATTCAGATAGTTATTAATTCCCCCTCACAGACACCAAATAAAACAAAACTCAAAAAAGTAAAAAGAAATCAAAATTTCTTGGTGGTGCTTGGGCCAGGTGCCAGATGACTGGAAGATAGCTAACGTGGTCCCCATTTTTAAAAAAGGGAAGAGAGAGGACCTGGGCAACTATAGGCCCATCAGTCTTACCTCTATCCTTGGGAAACTCTTTGAGAAGATCCTCAAGGAGCACATCTGTGATGGGCCGGCTTCAGGGATGACGCTCAGGGGCAACCAGCACGGTTTCATTAGGGGCGGATCATGTCAGACCAACCTGATTGCCTTTTATGATCAGGTCACAAAGGCAATGGATG